TCTTGCAGATAAATAAAATAATTTTGGAACCACACTCGTACGATTTAACGAGAACGATCAACTCAAAACTACTATGTTAGAAGATTTTTGTTTCAATGGAGATGTTTTATAAACCAAAAAAAATATCCCCACAAAATGTTGTTATACGTTTAAACAATAGACAAATATATTCATATAGGAAACCTGGTACACATTTCTATGCTGTTAGACAATTCTATCAGAATGTCTTTCCTAACTTTACAGTAATAAATATAGAAAAACCTCCATGTTTTTTAAGAAAATTCAGTCCCGATGGAAAGCATTTCATTGCTTTTTCTGCCGACCAAGCCTGTTTGGAAATATATGTTTATCGAGGACCTGCAGCAGCTGCTGATTTATTAAGAAACTCTGAAGAACAAAATGACGAACAACGTAGATTTGATATTAAAAGTAAAATGTTTGATAGGTTTTTTACTTTGAAACACCTTGTAAATTTGGCTAAAGGTACAGAACAGCTGAACAGAGAATGTAGCCTTTTTAGCGAAGATGGACGATACGTTATAATAGGATCAGCGTCCTTTATTCCTGAAGAAATTCGTCCACATTTTTATGAAATATATACAAGTAATGAGTCCGTCACCCCAAATTTGCAATCACCATTAGAAGATTATACATTGTATTTAGTAGATTTATATTTGGGGAAATTATGTGACATTCGACAATTTAAAGTTGACAAAATTTTCCTATCACACAATCAGGGATTGTACCTTTATAGAGATACCTTAGCAGTGTTATCTGTACAACATCAGCTGATCCATATCTTTCAAATTTTAGACGGCATGTTTGTGGACATAAAAAACATCGGAAGATTTTGTTTTGAAGATGATTCTTATATTTACAACTCCGTTTATCCATCTGAAAGGGCGTTTAGGGAAACTTGTATTAACTCTTTAAAACATAGGTTAATCACTTTTTTGTACAAGAGGGCTGCAACATTGAGTTCAAGAGACAATAATCCTACAGAACTAAGAAAGTTTTATCATTATTTTGGTAATTTTGTTTCTCTGAAAATGTGGAAAATGCAATTGCTAGATGAGAACACATTGTTAATAAAATATGCTAGTGAAGATGTTGTTACATTAAAGTCTACGGATGTGAGCAGTCAGCCACAATTTTTTGTTGTGTACGATATGAAATCGAGCAATATTCTTGCTGTCTATGAGAATTCGTCAAAAGATTTATTACATCTCTTTGAAAACTTTGGAGATTTTTTTCGAAACGCGAACATTTTCAATGATACACCGTTCTCTTCCAGTCCTGCAAACAATTTGTTTTCGAGATTACTGTTAAGACGTTTTAAACAAACTATAATTAATGCAAAGTTTGGTGGACAAACTGAGGCTAATAAAAGATTATTGGCCCAATTACCTATAAGTTCACAATCTTATAGTTGCTCTCCCTATCTGGATTTAGGTTTATTTAGTTATGATGAGAAATGGATTTCGGTGATGGAAAGGCCGAAGGCTTGCGGTGAACATCCCATTAGGTTTTATTCTAGAGATTCAGGATTTCTGCGATTTAAAATATGTGCTGGAAGTATTAGATCGACTACACCCACTGTAAGAAGATTAGTGGCATTTACTTTTCATCCAACTGATCCTTTTGCTATATCAGTTCAACGAGCAAATGCTGAATATATTGTAAATTTCCATTTGCGCCACGATAATATGTGCACAAATGTTGATGATGATGATGAAAGTCAATATTTAATAAATTTTTTATAAATAGTTATTTAAATTTTATACGTTTGTATAATATATTTTTTAAATAGAATAGAATTGAATTAATTTTTTTCCTCAATAAAATTCACTCCCGACCTAATTTAAACTCTAAAAAAGCAAATACTGCTTTTACAATAGTTGGATTATAAATATTGTTTACTAATAGTTCTAAAGCCAACTTATTTTCTTTATTGCTGAATTTAATGTTAAATTGTACATGTCCAACGAAATCACGAAAGTGTCGTTCAGACCGGGGCGTTTAGGTAGTTATAGTCCCCAGTACATCGACCTTTGGATTTTGTAACTCCTGTACACGTCAAACTTCCTGAGCGGCTTCATAACACCAAGTCGGACAAATTTTTTCATCTACTTCACCCTGGGAGATGGGTCATTTTTTTAACGAAATTACATTTGTCGGACAAAAATTTCGTGGCTTTGGGGGAGTCTGACGCCGCCAACATGTCGCTGTAGCGTCCCTAAGGAAGTTGATACATGTACGTGTAGTTTTAATGTTAATCGAAGGTTTTCTATATTACATTAACGATATCACATTTCGTTACCTTAACATGTAAACTTTCTAACTCCATACCAGGGTTCGAAAATATTATGATATTTATATAAATATGGTATTACATGATATATATCATTTTTTAAATTTAATTATTTAATTAAAAAACAGTATTGTTTCTTGCACAAACTATATTTTAAATTTTAACACAAACATATTAACAAAAACCCATATTCTAAACAACAAAACCATTTATTCTAACTCAAATTAAAATGAAAAACAATAGTAATTAATAAAATAAAGAGATTTTAACATTATTTTATTAACATTAATATTTTAACACAAACACATAAACCGCTAGTTATTATACTTTTATACAGGGGCGTATTGAGACCTTTTCTGATATTCAGAATGGTGGAAAACATTTTTAATTTAATAAATAAAATAATCAAATATATCGGATATATGTCAAGGTATAAATATCATGATATATATCACTTGATATATATCCTCCGAACCCTGCTCCATACGTAATAATTTTACACGAGAAGCAAAAAACCGTTTCATGTAGATATAAGTAGTAGAAATAAAAAATAAATTAGATCAGCAGGTCCTTTAAAGGAAGCTCTAATTATCAGTAATTCATTTCGAAAAACATTCAATTATAAACATTTTTTTTACATTTTGGAGTTACATGTTATACAGGCTTAACTTTTGTGGAGATAGAAGTTATGTTAATGTATGCTATGTAATGTAAATTTTCAATATAAGTGTTTCAAATATTTTAATGTAAATATTTTTAATTTATATTTTTAATTTATATTTTTTGGAGTTTTATTACTTAAAAAACTAATATTTATGTTAAATAAAGTATTTTAATGTAAATATTAGTTTTTTTTAATGTAATGAATGCCAAAAAATGTAAATAAATAAATAAATAAAGGACATTTGAATAACCCGCGGTTATGCTTGACACTCTTCTTTTTAATTTTATTTTATGCTGCCTCTAACTGTTAAGTTAATCAGCCAATTGTGGAGCGTGCGATGGTGGCGCCAAATAGTATGGCCGGAACTAACCACTTGTTACCAGTGCCGTGCATTTAAATAGTTTATCTTTTAATATTAATCTATGTCTCCACCTAAAACGCGGCCTGGCCAAATTTGTCGGTATATTTTAACATTGTGTTGATAGTAATTTCTTTGCAGAGAATATTTTTATTTATTACTTCGATGACGGATTCGAAAGTTTTCTCTCTTCATCTAGTGGAATTATTTATTTATTTATATTCTAAGGTGAAATAGTAAAGGATTTTTATACATATAATTATTGATCGTATTTTTTGTAAATAAACATTATCGTTGTTATTACTAATATCCGCACGAAAGCTTTGGATGGCTTTATTTATGGTATATTTAAAGTAAGAAATGATTTTGGAAAGTGCTTTAATATACAGTGGTATATAATATAAAATATTTGTTTTTTTTTTTTTTAAATAATCGCACCAATTTCACAATTAATTTGTAGTGTAGACGAAACATTTTTTGAAAACTATTTTATCGTACACATGTATATTTTATTGTACATAATATGTATTCTTTGTTTTAATTTCATAAAAAAATATAATGTATTGGTTTTATCTTTTCTTCATTTACTGAAAGTAACAATAGGTCAAAATAAATTAAATACTTAAATAAACGTACTATTTTTAATGAAACATTTTATTTCACATAATAAAATACAATCAATTTCTTTTATTAGATATTTTAAATAAAAATCAACTAACTTTGGTTCAGCACATAACCAAAAATTGTCATCTCTCTCAATTTTCTCAACGAACATTCCTAGTGGGGTCCAAACTAAAATATAACAATATTTGGCTTTCGTTATAGCTAATTGTCCTTGTACCTGATAATAATTTTTTTTTTTTTAAATTTAATTTGGCCATCTGTATTGGCTAGGTATTTAATTTTTTTTTCTTGAATTCCCATTTCTGATGTCAATTTGGAACAAGAATATGGACATTTAATTACAATTATTTCATTATTATTAATAATACCATCTAGACTTGCTCCCAAGTATGGATGTTTTTCATAAATAAATCATTCACATTCTTGAACCGTTTTTCCATATTTATTTTTAAATTCTTCTATCGCAATAGATTCATGATCTTGTCCCCATTTTGTACGACTGATCCGTAAAGAGATTAAAATAATATGTTATTAACAGTCTTTTTTGCGTAATTTGCAAACGGTTCCAAAATTTATTTAGTCATGTTTAATAATAAACTGGCTGTTTTGAACCAGCAGATACAATGTCGTCCATTAATCCGCATTCTTCCATTTCTGTCACATATTCTCTGTCGTTTTGTTCTCTTTTACAAAAATATTGTGCACAGTTTGAATGAGTTCCAAATGTGTGGTAATGAGAGTTTTTAATGTCTGCAGTTAATTGCTTCACGTTGTCAACAATATCACTGGTATTTTTCTGTGGTAATTTACAGCCGATTTAATTCCCACTCGTAACTTCCAAATCCTATCACTCAAATTTTTTTTTAGTAATAATTCCTGAGAAGATAGTTAATGCATTCTACTTTGCGGAGCATTGTTCTTCCGTAGTGTCTCTAAGCAAATTTTTTGGCAAACATTGCTGTCTCCATCGCCAATAATTTTTACATATTTTAATTTGTGCATTTTTATACTATTACTGAATTCTTATAAAATTAGTTCCGATTCCATAGAAGTCGACGAACCATCCAAATTTTTTGAACATTTATGAGTTTTTATGCTTTTAGTTAAGTTAAAGCACAGATAGGACAATACTTACTTTTAAAAGAAACATACAAAACTTTTAGTGCATTTTTAAATAAACGCTTTATAAGTTATATCAAATATAAAAATGTTTCTAAAGTAGTCCATGGAAAAATCACGCATGACGGATTCTACGTTATAATATTAAAATATAAACTTACAACTCCAGATAAAGCGTTATAATTAACTTTATATGACCGCTTAGACAATGCACCTTCAACAATCTTTGCAATTAGACCATTTCCTTGTTCATCTACTTCTCCAATATCTTTTGCTAATTGCAATTCTTCCAGTCCTTCTTGTTCCATGGCCTCCCAAGCTGCTTCAAAAATACTTTTACTTACCAACTCATTATGATTTAATATTCATTTTTAATTTTTATTTCAAAAACTAGGGTGTAACAAAAAATTAAAAGACTAGAGATTATTAAGGTGTTTCTTTTGAATACTTCAGCAAAAAATGAAATTATACTGATGATAAATAACTAAGATACATGGATAATGCTAAAATAGTGAACCGCGAAAAATGCCTTAATGAACAAATTAAATTCTCTAGGTACTTCAGATAAATACACCAATGTAATCACGACTGAGTTACAATACGGTAGACAATGCATTACTGAAAAAAAAAGTAAAAATTATATAAACAGACTTATTATTAAGCTAAATTTTAACACACAATTCCAGAACCGGATTTAAATGTTTAATTCTGTATCTTCCTTATTTTTGAGTGTTGTTAAAAAGTTGTTTATTTTAACGACTTATACACAATTAAAATAGTATCAACTTAAGATTCATCCAATATATTTAAACCATTAATATTTTTTCTTTATTTTCGTTAGGCACGACAAGCGGCCCTAAATTTTTATCGGATACTAATTCAGTGAAAAGCTTTCGTGAATTCGTTTGACACGTATTATCATAGTACATTTTAATAATAAATTCAGCCATAAAAAAATGTCAGTTACGGTGGCTCTAGAACTATAATATCGAGATATATCAGAAATGGCCCCTTTAGACACAAAACGTGGATGCGGAAATTTACATGATCGATGTCTCCGAAAATAATTGTGTAATAGAACATTTTATTACGAATGTAAGATAATCCCATTATATCAAATAATGTGGTAATCAAAAGAATAAATAAAACTCGAAATCAGTAGCACATACATATTTAATAAGTTTCGGCCATTATGTTTATCATTAGAACCAATGTAAAAAAACAAACGTTTTGAAACATTAACGAACGATGGAAAAATTGTATAGGTACTTATAAAAAAAGTATATGATTTTAATGCTTAAACTGCGATTTTATACAATAGTCGACTCTAATTTTTTTTTTGGCGATTTCTCTAAAAATCTACCTTACGATGATTTTTTTGGACTATTTCCTTGTCTTTTAATCCACAAGCTGCTGCATTTTCGTTTTGAGCGACCTATTGATTTCGAAATTATTTCGGCGAAGATTTCGACCATGATTTTCGATGATGATTTCGGAATTTTCAAGAAAATTTATAGTGATTTCGAGTGAATGTGTTTTTTTTATTATTTTTTTTCTTTTAACGCACCAGCTAATCTTGTGTGTGACTCGTGGTGATTTTTTATTTGTTCCTGTTGGTAGTTGTAATTCCATTATTTTTTTTTAAATTATGGTTTAGTTTAAGACTACCGTAACTTTATATAATACTGGTGTACGGGAAATGCAATCAAAGTAGAACAGAAGTAAAAGTTGGAAAT